TTCGTCACAATAATAATAGCAATAGTTTCGTAATAATAATGACAATTCATCGTCGTCGGTAATAATCCAATGGCAAATGTCAATAGTCATATAGTAGCGTGTCGAACGGAGAAACGACCTTAAAAAACGAAGACAGTATCAATTGTACGTTTCAAGTACATTTTGTTCTTTCTTTTTTTTTTTCTTTTACCTTATTTTCCTTTTAGCTTCCGTCGTCTTCTTATTCATCTCGCTCATCGCGCGCTTTCATCGTTTTTTTTCTTTTTTTCGTTTAGTCTCTCCTTTACCTCTCGTTCTCTCTCGCTTTCTCTCCCTCTCTCGTTCTCTTCCACACGCGCATTCTCTCCCTCTCTCGCTCTCCCTCTCTTGCTCTCCCTCTCTCGCTCTCTCTCTCTCTCTCTCTCTCTCTCGCTTTCTCTCGACTTCTTTATTTTTTTTTTTTTTTTGCTCAAAGTTCTCTATCTCTCACACACACGCACACTTTCTCCCTCTCTGTCCTCGTGTTTACACACAATTGATGATGCAAAATGTCCCTACACAGTCCGACGAATGTGTGTGTGTGTATATGCGTTTTTCCCTAGTTTTTCTCTTTTTTTGCTTCCGATCGATTCTTTCTTTCTTTCTTTCTTTTGTTCTTGCTCCTGGTCGTTTTTGGTGTTCGTTTCTTTTCTTTAAACTCGACGCTTTATTATTTTCTCCACGGTATACACTCACTTTTCCATTTGCCGCCTTTTAATCATCATCGTTTCGTTTCTTTTCGAAAATTCCGCTATTTTTTCCCATTTTGTAGCACGTGTTGACACATTCACTCACATTGGTTAATCGGTTTGCTAGTGGAGGGACCGGGGGTGGGCTGGTGGAGACGTTTCGGGGAGGGTGTGTGCCGTTTTTTTTTTTTCTTTTCTCTCGGTGGAAGATATCGGTGAGGAGGTTTACGTGTATTAGAGTGGGGGCGGGTAGGGGAACAGGTGTGTCGCGGGGGATAGGTGAGACATGGGATGGTGATTAGGGGGATTCCAGGGGTAAAAGGACGTTGTAAAAGGGTTTCGTCGAAGAATGAATTAATCGGGAACGATCACGAGGATAAATGGATATGCTGCGGTGAAAACAGAAGGCTCTATTATTAATTTCAAGCCCCACCGGTCAACGGATCTGTTTCTTCTCTCTTTCTTTGCTTTCTTTCTGAAATTTTGTCATCGAATTTTCTCCATCTTTTTCTAATTTCTTTCGTCTGTTTTTCAATTTTCTTCGTTCCAAAAAAGGGTGCTGAAATGTGAAATTTGTGGTGAAATTCTCCGTAAAAATTCGTCGACCGAGGGACATTTTCGCGGTGCCGAGAGCGTCGAAAGTCGATTTTAAGTAATCGCGAGGGGAAACCGTAAGTTCGATCGGGACAGCTTTTAAATTACCGCCTCGTTTCCGCGATTTCGTCGCGCTCGTCCTACGTGTTTTTTCTTTTTTTTCTTTTTTCATCGAATTCGTTCTAATCTCTCTCTCTCTCTCTCTCTCTGCCTGAGCTATGTATTTTCACCCTTTTTTTGTTTCTTTTTAACTTTTTTGCCTATGTCGCCTCTCCTCCTCTGCTCGTCCTGGAACGCGACAATACGCCCTCTCAATGGTTTTCTCGAATCGTGTTTTGTTTCGTTTCCGTTCGCGCGGTCCTTTCGGAGTGGGGGGAAAACTGGGTAGAAATGAAAACCGGGGACTCGTTGATAACGTTTGATAAGGAGTTCGTCGGAAATGGAGGTTCGATCGGGCGACATTGTCACGAACGAGGAAGCACATCGCGTACGCGCTCGCGTTTTTCTTCTATTTCTTCTTCATTTTTTTTGCTTTTTGTTCTTTTTCTTGCATTCTCTTTGCACCGGATGTACGTATGCGTGCGTACATACATACATATATGTATATCTTTATATATAGATATATAAGATTTTT